AAAAAAAAAAAAGAAAAAAAAACAGAACAAATGAACAAGTATTACAGAAATAATTCTAAAATCTCTCTTGGCTGAAAATAATTTCATGTGGTTTTATAAAAATTGTTTAGACATATAATATCCCTGTTTATATAATAATCATTATATAATATATCGCATGAAGTTAGTTGCTTAAAAAAAAAAGAAATAGTTCGATTTAAGAATGAGGATTTGTGTTACGACGATGCGATGATGAGTGTATTTAACACATGTCTCCAAAATATAAATATTATATAATATATAATTGTATAATATAATATATATATGCAAGATGTTTCATAATATTAATTTAGAAATGAACAAGAGCCATAAAAAAGATAATGGAGAAGATTCGTAAAAACATGTGTCTTATTTGACTACGTTTCACAATTATATTCACTATTGGCGTTTCAATAATCTGTGATAGCTAATCTTCATAGAAAGTGGTCAAAATGATCCCTCTAGTAGCACAAAATATTGAAAAATATTCAATACATATATTTTTAATATTAAAAAAAAGACATTGAATCTCTTTTTAATATTAAATACACATGTGTATTGAATATTTTTTTCAATATTTTATGCTACTAGGGATGATAACTCTTAATTTGAATTTCTAAGCAATGATCTATGTCTTACGTATATTTCTTGCGAATACAAATCAAGGATGATCAGTAATTTCTAAAAAAAAAAAAAAGAAAGAACAAACTGTCACGGATTATAGGGACGCAAAAGTGGCAATAATTTTGAAACACAATCAAATAGGGTTAAATGTTTTGATACATTTTTTTTTTTTTCATGGTTTGTTTTGTATCTCTTGTTCACTCCTGAACTGAGTCCTGAACTCGATTACGAGACAACTTGTATATACATATGTATACTAGAAAATAAATAACAAATAATAGGGGAGGGAGAGAAAAGGAGGAATGCAACAACCAACGATGTAATATAAAAAAGTTTTAATAAATATCGATAGAAAAAACGCTACGAAATATAAATATATATATATATGTATACATATATAACATGTATATATATATATATACATATATATACATGTGTGTATATATATATATACACAAGTGGTTACAAAGGTCAATATAAAATTACACGCCTGGAAAAATACGATATGTTTGTCGTATTAATTCAGGACGAAAAATGTACAGTAATTATTATCTGTCGTCGCATTTTAAATTCGAATATAATATTAGTAACTATTAAATTACTATTATTGAATATAATCATAATATTCTTCATTAAGATTTGATATAAAAAATATTGTCATGTTTTTTCATTGTTCCGGGTGATACGAGAATGTATCATGCATCCTTTCGAATGATATAAATTATACGCAATTTAATATTATAATAACAATAATAATATTAATAACAATAATAATAATAATAATAATAATAATAATAATAATAATAATAATAGCACGAATGTAATATGTTTAATAGATCGAGGATTAAACAATTGGCGGAAGATTCGTTTTAACGAAAAAAAAAAAAAAAAAGGAATTTAAAAAATGAGCAAATATGAAAAAAAAAGAAGGGACGCGCAGTGTATTTTTTATACAAAAAAAAATAACAAAAAAAATCATTTGAAAAAAAGGGTTCGAACATTTTTAAAAATTGCACATGAGAAAAACGAATGAAAATCATTGTGTGGTTGGTAGTTGTTTAAATAAAGCAGATTACAAGGCACTATTAAAATATTAATTATCACCATGTTTTTTCTCGTACGATTTAAACCTTATTTCCTTATTTATATATTAATAATTTATATTAATAATAAGAATAATAATAATAATAATAATAATAATAATAATAAAAGAAAACAAATAATAATTTTTCTTTTTTTCTTCTCTCTTTCATTTTTCTTTTTTTCGGTAGACCAGTTTAAAAATTTTGCGTCAAAATGAAGACGACTTGTTTGAATATTTTTAAAAATAATTTTTATAATTGAGACAAATCATTTTATCCTTGCCTCAATAATTTGTTTAATAACACTGAAAGATTTAAATATTTTAAATAGTTTTTAAGCACTTATAATAATAATAATAATAATAATAATAATAATAATAATTTTCTTATCATTAAAAAAAATTATTTTCATTTCTCTAAGTTCGTAACAAATGATCGGGTCATTTGATAGCAAAATATATATATACAATTTAGATGACTTTAATTTTATTCTAGTTTCACTTTAATAACTACTAATTAGCGAAAACTTTCTTACTTCGAAATGAAAAATATCTTATTTTTATAAATGTATATAAAACACGTCGCGCTTTTACAGAGCGTCACTTTTCTATGTAATATTGTCAAGGATTTGAAAAAGCATTTCATAATATGTGTGTGTATGTATATATAAACATATATGTTATATATACCGTAAACAATAAATTTTAAGTGATATATAAATATTTATTTTCATTAATTTTTATTTTCATTTCAATTGCATTCCTTTATTTATCTGCTCAGAAAAATATCCATTTTCTGTTTCTTTTCTCTTTTACCTTTTTCAAATTCTTTTTTAAAAGGTAACATTCATTTATTTACACAAAATCAATTTACTCGATTATTAATTATTATACAAAGCGTATTCGTTCGATCAATTTTTAATTATTAATATTATTATTATTATTATTATTATTGCTATTATTATTATTATAACTATTATTATTATTTTCAAAGAGTTACAAAAACGATTCGATTCGCGTCCTTGATATTTTCTCCTGAATTTTGAGTGCATAAAAAGAAATTAAAAAATATGACAACAGAAAGTATAGCGCAGTGATTTCATTTTTTCAAATGCATAAGCGTATTTTTGACTCGTATAAAAAAAAAAAAAAACAGCAAATGAATTACGTACACCAATATAAATTTAACATCACGATTGATTTATGAACGTTGTAAAATAGGCTCTTGTTGTTTGTTATCATGGTTAATTGTTGGCCAATTAATAATACGGAACAACGATTCGTTGAAATCTTTAAAAAAAAGAGCACCATTTTCAAAATCGGATCCCTTAGCATACTCCATCATACTTTTTCAACTATTCGTTAATTTAATTTAATTTATTCTAATATAAATTAACTTAACTTAACTTAACTTAACTTAATTTAATTTAATTTAATTCGCGCGGACATTGAGTATCGTGAACAATGCATTATATTAATACTCTTCTCGGAGTTAGTTTCGGTATTGCTAATTCGTATTAATTAAAATATTTCATTTTTGTCCCCCTTTACACAACCCCCATTGCAATAAAACATTTGTTCATTGACGATTTTTACTTCTTGTCGAACATAATTTTTTATTTTCCGTCAAAGTCCAACACACGACGGTCTAAATTATAATTGTTCATTAAGATCCAAGTATCTAAAAAATCTCTAGTATGATCAAAGATCACGAGTATCGTAACTCAGCAGTCAGAGTTTTTCTCTTGGAGAAAAAGAAACAACAGTCTGTCCTATACAAGAAGAAAACTATTTTATAAAAATAGAAAAAATATACGGTACATTCTTGTCCGTAAAAAAATGTCAAGATCGTGAAAATTGTTTTTACTTATTGTCAAGTCACGTGTCGTCACTAATTTTTATGTTCTCCTTGTGTTATTTAACTGAATATAAATAAAGACAAAGTTCAGTTAGATGCATTTTTAGAGATGACTTTGCGTCGTTTCTTCGATAAAAGATGATCAAACGAGAGCTTCTGCATGATAGTGATGATAATGATGATGAATGTGTTCGTGAACATGTCTTCGACCAGTAGTAGCAGCGACCGCATTTTGAGAAAATTCACGTTCGAGCCAGCGAACGACTTGGGCCATGGCCCTTGCTTGATCTTGTTCTCTAGTTGCGTGTTTCAATTGATGTTTCTTGCTAGCTTTACCGCATTGCGATTGGGACTGATGAATGTATTGTCCCTCCGTTTGCCTCTGGATGTTATTATGGTTATTTATTATCGAACTCTGATTAATCTGGTTTTGTTGATTGTTATTTGGAATAAGATTGACGATGTTCCTATTGCCTAACAAATGTTGATTTTCGTTGTTTATCGTTGGACCGTTTATATTACGAGCTGAGATCTGTTGTTGACCCTGCTGTTGAAGATGCCCTGATTTCGACGATTGGGTTGTTGTCGTTGTCGTCGTCGTGGTCGTCGTTGGTGCCGCTGTTGTTATTCCCGAACGTTGTTGTTGCTGCTGATTTTGTTGCTGTTGATGGTGATGGTGGTTATGTTGTTGCTGTTGCTGCTGTTGTTGTTGTTGCTGTTGCTGTTGCTGCTGTTGTTGCTGTTGCTGTTGTTGCTGATGTTGTTGCTGCTGCTGCTGCTGCTGTTGGATACCACCATGCAGTCCCCGTGTCTTTTTCAAATTGCCACGGGTTTTCGTTGGTAATTTCGAAAATGCGACTGTGTGATGGGAATTTTCCCGTACCGGTTTGTGATAAGTCATCGTTGATTGTCGAGACTCCGAAGGTGGTCGACCGTTTTGGTTGTAGTTCGATGTTTGAACGCTCGTTGGCTCGATGTGAGGACTTCGAGATGGAACGCGTAGATGTTCGTTTTGATGTCGTTTCCTGGAATATCAGTACAATGATTAATTTATTTTTGTATTTTTTAATCTCGAAAGTTAAGGAAGGAGCATTTATATCGGAAAAATTTTTCAACGTATGATTGTTTTGATCTACTTTCTTAATATTATAAATTTCATTAACACTTTTTCAAGAATAAAAGGCACACTTCTAAACGAATTACAGGGATGTGGATGCAAACTACTTAGATCAATAAACTAAAATCATACTTTAGATTTTGTTGCTCCGAAATGCGTCAGTCGGTAAAACAGTTTGTCCTATCATCCCGTAAGCTACGTGATATAAGAATATAAAAGTAAATCAAGTATTAACTGATGATTTTCTATAGATTGCAAGATATTTGTTTAAATAACAGTTACCAAAGTACAATTTTATTCTTGTCTGAAATAAATTTCGCTAAATTTAAATACTTTTTTGTATCCGTGACAAAAAATAGTCGGTCGTTCATCTAATGGATTTTAAGTTAATTAATTACTGAATAATATATTTTTGGATGACCCACCTCGGTGTATGAAAACTGAGATTGTTCTTTTCCATGTTAGCCTGTATAATTTCTAACAGCTGTTGCCTTTGGAGTGCTCCACTACGTTTTCGTTGATTCGTAGTGAGTAAGGGTGTGAAGGGAGAAAAAGCGGGCGAAGTATCACTGTCGTCGCTGACATCACCCTCCGAACTGTTCGAATAAGGCGATGGTAAATGAGGAACCGGGCCGACCCTCCTACGGAGTTCTTCCTGTTTCACGCGGCTGCTTCGCGTGTTTTCGGCGTCATCCTCGCTGTGCGTCTCTGCTTCTCTTTGTTGCGTCTAAAATAAAAAAGAAAATAAATAAATAATAAAAAAAAAAATAAAGGCTTGCAAGATGAGAGAGAGAAAGAAAAAAGGGAAACACGATCTTCTTCTCTCGACTGACCACAACAGTATATATAAAACGCAGTATACTACATACTACCCCATAATTTATCAGACCACTTTCAAATTTACCGCTTGGTCCGTTCGAAACAAGGAAGAATTCAAAATACGAGAGAGAGAGAGAGAGAGAGAGAGAGAAAGAGAGTGGAGTTAGAATCTACCAGCAGACTGCCGTAAAGAAACAGCAGCAGTCCTGGGGTATACCCTAAAAAAGGAACCTTCAAAAGTCCTATATAATCCAATCCATCCAAAAGTAATATAAACCCGAAAGAAATGAAACAAACGGAGAAATGCGATGGGATCGGTGAAAGAAAGAACTTTTTAGGTTTGTAGGTATACTTATTCCGCCAGGAGGATACTTTTTCCAGGAAGAAAACTTCGTGGTAGAGATCAACGGAATTTCATCTCCTTTGTGCATCTCCAAGAAAGCTTATTAGAAGAAGAAGAAGAAGAAGATGATGATGATGAAGAAGATGAGGATGTAGAGGAGAAAAGAAGAGAAAGAGGAGAGGATCGTAAGCAGCTAAGAAGAAGCAGGAGGAGAGAGAATTTTTATTTGAAAGAAAAGAAAGCCGACGACGACGACGACGATGACTGGTCTCCTCACTCACTCACTCACTCACTCACTCTCACTCTCTTTCTCTACCTCTCTCATATTTAGTCTTTCTCTTTCTCACCTGACAACGATGCCGAGTGGGTCTTCTCCTTCTAGGAACTTTGCGCGAGCCATGAGTGGCATGCGTTTGAGTTGTCGTCGAGTGATAATGATGATTACCACCGGTACAGGAGGCCGCGTGCTTCACGTGACAGTAAGGGGAATTAGCTGGTAAGCTCGTAGTTGTTGTCGTAGTCGTAGTGGTCGTAGTAGTTGGCCCTTGTTGAGAATTTGGGCAGGTGGTACGCGTTTGTCCGGCACGTTGATCAGGCGATACAGTCAGCTTGACCTTAATCGTTTTACTGCCGCACGGTGGCACTTGGATGGACGCACCAAGAGTGTCATAAATGGTAGTAACTAGACCGGCTATATCGTCCTTCGTTATCTTTCCATGCCCATCAAAATCATAAAGTGTAAATGAAAACTCTTGTCTTCTTCGATCACCCTCGGCAACCGAAACGTCGCACTCGAATTCCTGCGAAAAATACGTAACTTTTATTGCTTAGCTTTCCTTTTTATGTAGGAGAAAGAAAGAAAGAAAGATTTGAAGTTTATAGATCCTTGGCAACTGTCGTAAAAGAGAACTTTACGACAGCCGAGTCGAAGGACAAGTTTCTTGTAAAGTTTCTTACACGGCTCGAGAAATACGAGATACCTTGAACTTGACGTTCGAGCGCATATCGATATCGATATCAATATCTTGGTAACTAAAGGATAGTTGGGGTCTTTGCTTGATGCTTCTCTATTCTCTTAGATCCTTGCGATCATCTACTTTAATCCCCATTCTATTTTTCTTTCAATCTATTTATAAATCTGTCCTATTATAATACTTTCGTTATAAACAGATATCAAGAATTAAATAATGTTCAACGAACTACTTTCTATTGAATTTGATTTTAGATTTGGATTTCTTGAATCAACAGGAAACGGAAATGAAATGCGTTGATAAATCGAGAGTTTGGAATGTTGCTTGTGATATCGTTGGTAACGTTAAACTTGGTATTGAATCAGCTCATTACGTAAACCCACTTTAAGTGCGTTAGTTGTTCTAAAAACAGGATATACCAAAGGGAAAAAGAAGGAACACCATCGGTGTTTAGTCCCCAAGTAAGTTAGTACGATATACCTAAAGCTGCCACGTGGCACCTAACGTGTTTATACAAACTTGTTTATGGCCACGCAACAATGAACCCAACTTCCACGAAATGACCCTTTTATCGAATAACCGCTTGCTTGGGTTTCTTTCCTTTTATCGTTAATATTATTTCCAAATAAATTTCTTATCATGACAATGAAAAAAGTAATGCATATTTAGATTTTAATTTTTGTTTATTACAATTGAGCACAAATGTTTGCAAAATTGTTGTTAACATTTTCAATTCTAATGAATTTCTCACACATAACTCTGCCCAATGATTTTACTTATCTTCCTTATCACTAGATAAAATGATATATATATTTAAATATTTATTTTTAACCACACTGTTAAAAAGAAGAAAAATAAATCAAAAGGAACAACTCCTTCGGCTTATAATATAAAAAGGAAAGTTTATTTCCATTAATCATTTTTATGTCCCTCTTTTTTCTTTCTCATGCATCTTCACGGGAATCGACAAAAAGTGAAACCAGAAACTATGGGATTCAGAAAAAAGGAAAAAAAAAAGGAAAAGGAAAAGGAAAAGGAAAAATGGGACGGTACCTCAAAACTGAGCTGTTTCGTCGTACTGCTGGTAGGTCGTTCATCGTTTCCTGGAGCTGGCGGTGCCGGACTGGCGGTTCCATCGACCGTGACCTGAGGCGATTCCGCAGGTAGCGGGGGGGAACCAGTACAAGGCGTCGCGACGCTCCCTAAAAGTTCTTCCGAATCGCTACCTTCGGTATTCCCACCAACGACTGAAACATCCAACAAATTCATGGAAATGAAAAATGACCCTTTTTTTCACATTCCCACTCTTTTTTTCCCCCTTTTTTCAACCCTCGTTCTTTTTCTTTTTTTTTTGAAAAGGCACAAACGAATTCCAACGAATCCATTCAAAAGGTTAAACACAATCATACGGTTTACAATGATTGCGCATTCCTCTACTAGATCCCTACTCAAAGAAAATGAAAACTGGATACTTCGACCAGACGTGAACAACAACAAAACTTGGACCATACTTCAAAGGATCCGCGTAAAAGATAATATTATTATGCATTGTCAAGTGATTTTGGATTCAAAAAATTATTTCTTTAGAGAATTGTATTATGTGATTTTTATTTTGCGAATTACAGAATAATATATATATATAAATATATTTAAAAGTGCAATATATCTATAATAAGAGAATTTCAATGAAAAAATAATTTTCATTTTGATTATACGTAATTAGGATTAACGGAATCAACATTAAAATAATATCGTAGATATCAGAGTCTGCCTATATTTTTTTCAATTTATTTATATATTAAAATTCTATGTTGAAAATTGTTGGCATAGGAGGGAGGGAGGGGGGTGGCAATATGCGGTCTATCCAAAATTACGTTTCTTGGTATAGGTAAAAACAATTTATATCAGGAGAAAATGATCATGCAACGTAATGCATTTCTGATGCAACAACCCTGACGAAAATCAGCAATATTCTTCTGTAGAGTTCAAATTGTGATATAACCGTATACTAAAATTTGGTATAAAAACGAATATAAATATCATTCCCTTCCTTAAGATTAAATAGATCAAAAGAAGAATAAAATAAATTAAAATAATGATTGGAAAAGGTCTAGATTATAATACAGGAAAAGAGGAAAGGTTAAAAGGTGGAAGGAGAGAATAATTTTGAAAAATCTTTATCGACTTCTATAATCTTATCGAAAATCGGTCAGGCAATTTATCGAGTCGCTCGGATATACGTGTAACGATGAGAATTCATTTAGATTCAACGCTTAATCGCGTGTATGGCCATCGACAGTAATGGTGTAGTCGTAGTGGTAATGGTAATAGTATGGTGGCTCGCTTGCAGATCAAACGACACCGACATGACGAGTTGGAACTACGACACGAAACTCTGCCGGACGTAATTCCATTCAAGCTTTGGCTATTAAAATACGGGCCTAAAGTTTTATTGGGATTGTTCAGTTATACAAATATTTTCCTATAAATCTAACACAGCATTTTTTTTTTTTTTTTAATTATTTTTGCTGTTATTTTGGTTTTGTTGGTACTGTGACTGTTTTGTGTACGGAAGAGAAGAAACTTTATACAAGCATCGTACGTACACTCGAAAGACCAATATTACGGAAATATAAATTACATGAAAAATTATTCAATTCCTATCCTCAATTTTATTCGATATTGTAAAAGAAGTAGCATTTTAAAAATACTATACATGTTTGAATTAGAAATGATATTCCCCTAGCTCTAATCCATTCCAATAATGGGGCATAAGGTTGAGAAACACTGATGTATACAATTTGAAATAAAAGAGTAACGTTAATCATACTAAACCCTTCGTAATTTAAATGTCATTAGTGTATCAAATTACTTTGCGTTACTTATTAAATAAAATACAACTACTTACTACCCAGAACTGTTTTTAGTATTTACAGTAAATCCGAGTAGACGTTTGACGATGCATACCGGGGCATCTATCTCTCTGACTCACGCACTATCATTCGTTCATTTGTTGGTTCGTCGAAATGCAAAACGATTTCAATTGATTTCTATCTCCCGTGTACATTTTATTTGTACTTGTATTTTCACAAAAGACTGAATTTTACTTTGCTTCTTTCGAAAGAGAACATTGTTCCCCCCCCCCTACTACATTGAAAGCTTCGTTTTCTCGTTTCGTTATTTGACTTTTTTTTTTTTTTTACTTTTACTTCTTCATTCTTCATCCTCTCCAATTCTCTTGTCTATCTTCTGCTTTGTTTAGTTTTGATGTATAACTTTTCCTCCCCTTTTAATCTAACATGAAAGAGAATCGAGAAAATAACGCGAGAGAAAGATTTATAAAACATTCAGTTTTTAACAAGAGGATATAATAAAAATCGATAATCCACGTTGTGGCTTAACTTTTACAAATTGGAGAAGTTTTGTTTTAAAAATAAAACAAATAATATAATAGTAAGCATAATCATTGTAATCATTGCATAAGACTTATTATTGGAAAACTTTGAATCATTGGGTAATGAATAATTGATATTAAAAAAAGGCAATGATATGAAAAACGCGTAATATTTTCACCTATTCATCCTAATAAATTATTGCACAAATTACGTATTGAATCACGTTAAATTTTAATTAACAGCCCTTACCTTATGGCAAAAAAATAAGTAATTGAATGGGTGCTTGGGAAAAGGTACTATATGTTAAATTTTGTTGTATCCTATGTTACAAATTCTAAAGTATGTATGTATAATAACATAGGCTCATCTTTCAAACATTCATTTAATTAATCATAAAGAGAATTCCAAAAACGATATGTTAAAAAAAAAAAAACAATAAATCATAACTTTTAGATATCAATTGTGAACACATTTAATCCTTGGTACCATAGGAAAAATAAATGTATTGAAAGCAACAATATGTTAAAGTTGAGAAACACTGTATTGTAAGATGATCGAAACGAAGAGGATCACACGTCAAGAGAGCGTCATCGTCCGAAGAGTTATTCGTTTTTCGTTTGGTCGGGGTATCTGTAAATTTTCCGATTGTTTACGACTACCCACTTTCTTTCTCCTGTTCATCCTTATGAACGGCGCACAACATACCATCTCATCCATAGCGAAGGTTCGGCTTTATAAAAAGGGATATTGCTTGCTTGCCTGCCTGCCTGCCTACCCAACGACCCGCAGCGATCTAGGTATTTTCCTAGAAGCAAAAGTAGCGTTCGGTCATCGGTCGAAGCCAACCACATGACACGTACACAGCACAAACACACATAGAATCGAACCGCACACACAATACCATACTCTCTCCTCTCTTCTCTCTTTTCTTCTGTTCTCTTCTCGAGGCTGCTATTATTGTTGGCTTCCAGGAAGAGAGACCCGACCAAACGGACGCCTCTTCTTTTCCTTCCTCTCTCTCTCTCTCTCTCTCTCTCCCTCTCTCTCTTCTTCGTTCATTCTCTACATACCCCTCCATACTACGTACACGTATACACGCACACACACACACACACAGCACAGAGCATGCTGTATCATCGACTGAAACAAACCGTTCTCTTTCTTTCTCTTTCTGTCTCTCTCTCACCCTCATTATCTCTCTTCTACTTTCTCTCGTACTCATTGTCTCTCTCCTATTCTCTCTAACTTTCTGTTCGACTGTCTCTCTTTCATTCCAGCCTCATCCCTTTTTCGTGAGGCCGCCGCCGCCGCCGTCGCCGCCGCCGCCGCCGCCGACGCCGGTTCGATGCGGTCTCTTCTCCGATTCTTCTTTATCTCTCCTTTTCTCTACTTTTTTCTTTCCATCTTTATTTCTTTCAACCTTCCTCCAAGCAACCTCCCTCGTCATCCTTACTGAAGCCTTTAACTCATTCTCTCCTTGCCCGTTGATACATACAATAAGGACGGCATCTTGTTGCCAGCACAATTTCTTCTTACACTGAGGGCTCCTTTTCCCTAACTAATTACCCGGAAGAAAAGAGAGGGAGAACTTAGCGCCTAAATAAAGAAAGATGACAATTTAAACGATGAGAGAGAAGAAAAAAACAAGCGAAAATAGTCCTACGAAAAATATCCAATGATCGAAATTCTTTCCTTTGATTTCCCATTGAAAGTTACCGCAGAAATCACACATGTCTTTTCTAAAGAAATGCTGTCCTCCCTTTTACTAGGAAAAAAAAAAAAAAGTTTGCTTATGTCAAAATTTCTCTTCTTTCTTCTTTTCAACTGTCAAATATTTCCTAGTATTTGAAAGTAAAAAATATTTTACTCTATCATGGTCTCTAAGGAGTTATAAAACCGAGGGGAAACAGCATGGACGTGTGACACACACACACAAACGGTTAATATTATAAATATTATAAATTGCATAAATGCACATGTATATATATATATATATATATATATATATAAGAAGATCTGTTTATAATAGACAACTTTTTATTTTCAATCTACAAATCAATTTTCTCTGATGATGATCATTCAAAATAAATACTCTTATGGCCTTTTATTGTCATTTTCAGTAATTACTCAAACTTTTCTTTCAAATGGTTGCTTGTCAATATTGATAAAAGCTAAGATTTTTTGTGTATCCTGAATAATGGGGATACGTAAAGGGAAGAAAAGAAAAGAAAAGAACAGAAAAGAAAAGAACAGAAAAGGAATGAAAGGGAATGAAAAGGGAAGAGAAGAAAAGAAAAAAAAAAGAAAAGAAAAGAAAAGAGAAGATGAGAAAGGATCGTCGAAGAAAATTTGAAAGAACTTCTTCGTACAATTTTCCCATAGTCTGCGCATTTCTTGATACCAACTATTATTCTACTTCCTAGATTTCATATTCGAAGTAAGCAAGCAAATACTTCGAGATATGAATAAACGAAAGAATAGATTGCAGCAAGTTGCATGGATAACGATTTTTTTTTTTTTTACGAAGTAAGCTGAATTGACAAAAATATTTGACGAATAATCATCAAACACAAAGAAGTATCTTCTCATTTTATTTGATACGTCATAAAAATGGTTCTTATGACATGAGAAAGTAAAAAAAACATGAGTGGTACTTAAATCACAAGGATAAGAAAAGAGAGAAGGAAGGAAAGAGAGAGAGAGAGAGAGAGAGAGAGATGTAATTAAAAATCAAAAAGTTAATTAAGTTTAATAAGGAAGTAGGAAAAAATGACACTTTATTGAGAGACGCTCCCCTTTCTGTCATTCTCATCGTTGTCATCGTTGTTGCACGAGTATTACGAGTGTGCTTT